ACAGCCCTCGTCGACCACCAGATTTCCATCCTTTCAGAGCTCGACTTCCGCTGAACGATTTCTTTAGATGTCGTTAGCACAGAACATTTCTTTGGATGTCGTTAGCATAGAACATTTCTTTGGATGTCGTTAGCTCGTCGTGAGCACTCACTGGGAGCATCTGCCTCAGGCTGCCCCCTTAGACGCCATCCAAAGTGTATCCTGCAGATTTAGTGCGCGCGAAAATGGTGATTATCGTTGACATAGCCAGCGAGCTATTTGCGATGTCTTTAACACGTCACGGATGATTCACAATACAATCGGGCCGAGCGAGCAAAAACGCTCACAAAATTTGGCATCTTGATGGATGATGTGCAACTAAGGCAAACGGCAGGGGCAAAAGCGAAAATGGTATTTGAAAAATCACGTTTAAGTGATACGGTGTAACAAAATGCGCGCATTTTAAAGGCAGGCAGGTAGTGGCAAGAAAAGGTGATATCCAGCTCACGACAGCCGCATGCGTTTGAACAGGACAAGATCGCCCAAATTGTGTTTTAGTCGATGCCTTGAGTTCGACCAAGCAGACTAAAACAACGAGATGATTTCACAAGGGATTTCAGTTTTCCACACTATGGGGCTCGTCGTAAAGTCTAGCATTGGTTTGCTAAAGCGTCCTAGACCAAAACGTCATTAGTATTACCTGACTTTTCCTTCGACGCTTAGTTTTTGATAGTCAGAGTTACGTGCGGCTTGGATGCGGTACTTAGATACTCCATTGTTGATATTTGAACCTGGTGTATGTGGCCTGAAGCTATGACATCGAAGCAACTGACCTCTGCCGGATGAGCAAAACGTACATTCCAATGCAAATGTATTGCTTCAAATGCGAAACATTATAGACGATGCACGCACAAAGCGTACCATTGAACAGCAAAAACTCGTTCGCAGAGTATAAATATATATGTATATATATATATATATATATACATGCATATAATGCATATCATATATGACATATCAAATATAAGCATCAGGTTATAAAGCACTCTTGAGTCGGCTGGATGACAATGCAAGACCACCGCGCAAAAAATTGCATTCGACGAATTCCTCGCCCGGAGAGCTGCAGCCCGGCCAAGTTATTTAGTAATGCAATCGTCTCACTGACATTCGTTCCCCAGAGCTTCTCATCTTCGCAGCGGTAACAACTGCGAAGACTTAAGGGCTGGGCATACTAACCAACCCCTTGGGTTACACATCAGACGATTCCAGTCGCCCCAGAAAAGCCGCGGGCACAAAGCGAGCTTAATGAGAAAATCCTTGTCTGAGACTAGCCAAAATAATGTGCGTAAAGGCCTTCCCGGCAAGGCGCACTAATTAAGCGGCTGTACAACGCCGGCAATTCTGCTGGAGTCCGCGGCATCTGATGATACCCATTTGCGGTGGAGCCGTTCGAGCCCATACACATCACGTGCCATCGCAGACCGACGAAGTCTCCTCCGCATGGAAGGCGTCGAAGTTTCCGCACCGCGCCACGAGCGGCCGCACCGAAGGACGGATGACACCTGGCTCGACAGTGAGCCAGCCAGCGGCAAGCTGTTGGTCAGACGACCGGCGAGGAGTGGGCTGCTCCAACCAGCCGACATACGTCTACAGATATCCGTTAGTTCACTGCGGACTCCGAAGCTGGTAAGCGCTTGTCACGTGTTTGGTGCCGCCACGTTCTGGCTCTTGCTGTTTATTATCTCCGCGCCCAGTCTTAGGTGGACGAAAATGCTGACAGCTGAACAAAAACGATGGTTAAGAAGTGCGGTGTAAGAGCTTTCTGCGTTACCGACGGAGGAGTCAGGAACTTATACATACGCATACGACTTCGTGTGGGGGTATTACGATGAAACATCGTTGGTTATCATGGGTGTAACCGGGTTGGCGGGATCACCTACACGGGTTTTAGCTCAGTCCACCTGCCGGCGAGTGTCGCGTGGGCTATGCTTAAGCCATGTGTGACAGACAGACATCACATGTCTCTGATATAAAAAACTTCTTGTCGGCAAGAAATGCGCTGCAAAGAGGTTTTTTAGACTGATTTTATTAATTGCATCACCCTGAAACCTGAAGGCCTTTGCAATTACCGTTGCATCTCCACGTCATCCAAGGTCAGCCCGGGTCATATGATGACCTTGATAACCAATGCTACTTTTAGAAGGTCATACGATTTATACTGTAATAAAACATATGGCACGGCCATAAAGGTAGTTCTAACGCTGTTATCCCAAAGTGATGCGGTTTGTTTACTTCTTTACATAGCTGGACGGGCCAACTTACCAATAGCAGTCAGCCCTTTTATCGGACATGACATCACAGGTATTACCTGACGACGTCCACTGGTGCATTTCTGAGTTTTCCCAAGAGCTACATAGCGCCTTTTCCGTACTGCCGTAGCACGCTTAGTTCTTGAGATGGCATGGGACCTACAAAAAGCTAGTTCGACCCCTATGACCTAATTTGACATGCCCATGCCAATTTCCATAAAGTAGTCGCAACTATCAAACAGATCGAGGAAACCCTTCCAATGCCGTTTTCCCTGTGCCTCTGACTTGTCCATTTTTTAGAACCTAGGGGAGGGGGTTGGAACCGTTCGTAGGCTTAACGTTACGCTACATCCCGTGGTAGCTAGATCATTTATGGACACATACAAGCACTCTGAAATGAGCGGCGCATTCTGCTACGCGGATTGTATCAGGGCCATTGTAATCTGCAGCGGCTGGGATTCGAGCTGGGGTCCGGAATTCGAGCCGTGCTAACCACACCAGGATCGCCATCTCGGTCTCCAGCGGCGGCGGCATTTCCGGGCACGCCATCGAACGCACTTCGCCGACGTCAATTCGCCGCAGGCCGCGGCGGCAGCACAGGTCGAGCGGCCCCCGCCGGAGCGGCTGCCACCTCCAGCAGCCGAGCGCCGAGCACCGGCTGGCGGGCCGACGGCCGCCCGCCACCACTAATGACGCGCGAGCGCAACGATGGAGTGGCCGCCTGAAATCAATGCCGGCGCGCCGCTCCGACAATGCCGCGGGGCCGATCGGGACGCGCACGCGGACGCCACGTGGTGCAGCCGCCACGTGCCACGTGGTGCAGTCGCTGCGAGCTGAATGAAGCGCGGCCGGCGCTCGGCAGGCCACTTGGAACACAGCGCAAGGCCACGCGCTGGGCGGGCAGCAGCGCGCTTATTGAGCCGATGAATGCATCGTATGTAAGTATACGAGCGAGTACGAATTTGCGAGCGAGACATAAGTGGGCGGGTAAGTACCAGTGTGCATATGTCTAGGCGGCCACGTCGGTGAGTGCTCTTCCCGATCGATCTGCGGCATGCGCATTTGCCATCATGTCTTATCGCACCGCGCTCGTGAAGTAGACAGAGGATTATGTCCAGATGCTAAGTGCAACGCCCCACTGACTGACCCCAGCTGTACTTAAAGCGGCCAAGAAACAAATAATGGCTTAAGTTACGAAGGGTTGTAAGCGGTTGACATTATGCAGAACATACCAGTGCTGGACTCAGAACATTGTAACAAGGGGGGGGGGGCGGGGGGGGCGGGGGGGGGGCGGGGGGACGCAACATTGTAGGCGTCGCTGGAATTTGGGGAGCTCGCCGAAAAATTCTCAGACATCGCCCATGCAGCTTGAATGTGCTTAGCTTTGCCATTTTTATATGGAAAAATGGCAAAAATAATCACCCTGTGCGCAGACCTGGAAATCAGGCGTGGTACTAAGACATGCATGCAATGGGCGCATTCATTTCCTCTAGATCATTATGAATACCTTCATTTCGAGGCTTACTGCTTCGGAGATCATATGGCAGAATAGGATTACGTTGCATGCCAAGCATCATCGAATCCCGCACGATATCTGATTCCAAAGTTCATTGCGGCTAACCAGTGTACGGTGGCTAGCCGACTAGTGGATATTGTGAACAGCTGATGGCTCGGGCTAACGCGGACTTTTTGTTGCGACTTTAATGACGCAGTACGATATGTGACCAAATTGAAACTGCATTAAGAGTGCGAGGTACAAGTATAATGAATGTCATCAATTCAACAACAAAGGGATGCAAAACATAAGCCACGCAAAATTCATCAAATACGAAGCTGCTACCATCTGCGGCTAAAGCGCCCACCAGAATCATCATCTTGTATAGGTTTAGGACCTGTAAACGTGAATTTATATATCCGGACTCACATACTATAGCAGTCGTCATTGGGGCTCTGCGACGCACTCCGCTGCTGAAGCTGAGCTACCCATAGTGTAGTGGTTAAGCAGCGCGTGTAGAAGTCAGAGGTACGGGTATAATGCCCCGCCATGTCCGCCCTTCCTGCCAGGGTGAGCCGCAGTTGACGTCATATTGTTCCAGCAGCTGAGTGCGTCGTAAAGCCCCAATGTCACACACAGCTGCACGCGTCGCCTGCTTCTCACCCTGGCAGGAAATGCGAGCACCAGGGCGGGGGAAGAACCAAACAACACAGTAATTCGCTCGATTCCTTGCCCCTAACACATGTGGTTAGGGACAGGGGATCAAGAATTAAGCGGAGGAAAATCGATCCGTGAAAAGAAGACAGCAATCGTTAAGATAGTTAGGGTACAAGGAAGGAAATCAGACAGCCTGACGGGAGCTGGGCCATGTCTTTTCCCAGTGGCGCATGGAGATGTTAGCGATGGTTTGATGCAGAAACAGAGGGGTGCCGGTAGTGTAATGGTTAAGGGGCTTGCGTTGACCGCTGCTCGTCTGGGAAACAAGAGGTACGAGGTTCGATTCCCCGCGGTGCCCGCCCCTCCTGCCAGGGTGAGAGGGCAGGTGACGCCATATAGCCTCAGCAGCTGAGTGCGTCGTAAACCCCCAATGACATGACATGACGCAGAAACAGACCCATGCTTACGTGGTCTTTCAGCCGATGAAACTTCATATTACAGATGAAAACCAACTCATCACGAGACATACGGATACTTCAAATATTTTACTGTTTTTCCCATCACTTCCGTGGCTGTCAAAGCGAGACGTAGACGCAACACACTGTCCATGGTTTTTCACGAAGGAATATTGATAAACTAACTTCCTAAATCCGAGCTATACATGAGATACTGGAACTACATTGTACGCTTGTAAGTTGCTTAGCAAAGTCTTACCATGTAATCATTTTTTGTTGTCGGAGGAGTGAGGACAGGAAAGCGAAACTTAGGCGGTTTATGGGCGACATAGGACTAGAAGATTAAGCTGTGTCTCAAGTCGACAGCCGACTGCAAGCTGTGTCTCAACTTGCAAGGTGATTGCAAGCTGTGTCTCAACTCGCAAGGTGATTGCAAGCTGTGTCTCAACTCGCCAGTCGATTGCAAGCTGTGTCTCAACTCGCCAATCCTCATTCAGCCAAAGTGTGATCATCGGCAGTCAACGGCGATCTGCCATGGGATCATGGAGCGTAATGATAGGTGCTGCGTACTTAGGCATTCCACAGCGAGTGGAGTTACATCCTCATGGTTCCCTTCACCTCAGACTGACCTGTCCAGCAGGACAATCGCAGCGCATAATCTATTGATCTAAGCCCTGACTTAATCTGACATATTGCTTCGCCTTTCGTCAGGCAGCGGTGGTTGGTCCGCGCTTGGCATGTCAGTATCACATGTGTCATTACAGTGATACAGTATGTCACCTGCTTTTTTCCTAGCGTGTTTTTGTCTATGATGTTGTCTGAACCCGGCCGCTCGTGGAGTACTCACCACGCCGACCACGTTGCTGATGCCGATGACGGAGATGAGGACGCTGGCCTCTTCGTCGGTGGCGCCGCCACTGATGGCGTGGTCGGCCAGGTACACGTACGGCACGTCGTAGAACATGTACAACACGAAGTTGGAGAGCGCAAACAGCGTGAATGCCGGCAATCGGAAGAAAGAGACGTCCAGCATCTTCTGCAGCACGCGCAGCACGTCCCGCACGCAGCTCCAACAGCCCTGGGGGGAGACGAGCGCGGCATCAGAGACAGGGCTGTGTGCACCAGACGGGGGCGGATTGGAAGACCGTCAGGTGGCCCGCCTGCCATTCGGTGCATCAGACTCGCGCACCGACACTGCACTCCTGCCATCGCGCTCACGCCACCCGGGCCGTCGGCAGCCACCCAACCGTGCACAAGCCAAGTACTTCGCCGAAAGGTGGACGCTCAGAAACACAAAATACGCGTCGCATTTCAAAATTAATCGCGTGATTTCTTAAACAGACGGTTGATGGCAACTTACGGGCGGTTTTAAGAGTCGTGCTTCGTTTCAATGACGTTGCTTATTAAATCATCATGCGTCACGCCTATTAAAAGCTTATACCTTAGGCCACATCAGCTGTGACTTCAAACAAAATGGCGCGTCCCTGTCGAAGAGTAAAAAGTGAGTTTCAGCTACCATCGTCGCAGAATTTTCCTAAGTCCGAACTCCATAAATACCGCACCCGTATTGAACTCTAACAACCCGCCCGCCTGAAATTCACCGGCCGCTGTTGCGCCGCAAAGCGACACATTTGTTACGTGATTCTGCCGAAACGCACCGCTTAAATGATCACTCCCTGTCAGCAATCCTCGTCCAGCAAATCCAGATGCCCAAAGCGGCAGACAGCGCCACAGTTCCCAACAACATATCATGGGGCGTGCATTCGCGAGGGCCAACGAACGTGTCACGGGTACAAATGCGACCGCAAACATCGCTGACCAACCGCAACCGGCCCACTCATGATGATACCGTGCGATGGCCATTCACTGAGGGTCGTCTCGGGCGCCGCCACCAGCCGTCAGGACTGCACGCGAGTGACGCGGGCGCCACCTGGCCAACATAGAGCTGAAGGCGGGCCAACACTCCCGGCAGGAGATGGCTCACCAAAATGCCCTAGCGAGGTGAGACGGCTGTGTCTGAAGTTTGGGTGTTTCTTGGTGTTTCTGGCTCCAGTGCATACTATTCTACATGAATATACGCATATCATTCTACATGAATATACGCTAGAAATAAACAACTGTTCTCTGCGGGCATTGTAAGACGAAAACGACGCTGCCGACAGCCATCCACAGCACCGTGTGACGCACTGCAAACAGCTGGTAGAAGGGTGCTGCAGGCGAACTTAAAGGACGCTGACGTCACTCCCACACAGTGCTTCCTTTCAACGCGCTCCGCAGACTGAGCCTGGCAACCCACCTACGCAGACCCACAGCCCTGCACGTCATCAAACGCAGAATTCTGCGAACCATACTTCAAGCAACGAAACCATCTCTCGACAGAGCGTGCAGCAAAGGAGCACTGAGCAAACCGAAATGCTAGCGAATATCCTGTACGCGCGGTGCTACGGTGCTTCGTGCGATCCCGTAGTTGGTGAAGAAATACATCACGTCACGCTAAATTACATCTGAAAATATTGAGATCTTGGCACCGGTTTTGAGAAAACGCTTAAGTAAGGCATTACATATTAATCAGATATAATGTTATGGGCCTTATCACCGTTTCATTCATTAAATGATCGTAAAGTAAGACCGAAACGTCAAAAGCTTCCTTGGACACTCGCTCTGGCACTCCAAGTCAAGCTTGCAGACGCGTCCAGCTCTAGGGAAGAATATTGCATTGGAGAACAGGCATATTTTCCGCAAGAAAATGCGAGCTTAATACGGGACAAAAGCGCAAGGAAGTGATACAGAAAAACAGCTTGCGTCGGTGAAAAGATGTAGCAGATGCCAACTGTGCAGGGATGGTTTTCCCGGTATGGAGGAAATAACGTCCGCCGCTGAGACATTGATCTCAGAGCCCCGAGCTCACAACAGCAATATTCTAAAGCCCCAAACGGGTGTAGCTTGGTGCGTACTTTGGGGGAGGGGGGGGGAGGGGGCTGAGGAGAAGAGATCCAAATCAATAGTAAATGAAGTGCCTTCTGCCTGCATTTGACTAGACTTCCCTCAAAGCTGAGTGGAGGGGCTACACAATTATCTAACTGAATAAAAAACTACATTCTTGGTCCCCCCAAAAATATAACTAGGTCAGTAGAACACCAGGTGTGTATTACGTTGCCCCGGCATCCGTCCCTCAAGTGAGAAAGATACTACACATGCAATCGCATCGCCTGGCAGGTGGCTACACTGACCACTATGTGCCCGAATTTCCTCGTTGTATTTTGGTGACCTGCATGACATTTCAATCATGTCATGACGTGGTCATAACAGCTGTACAACATGTCAAGCATCGGTTTCCTTCAGTATTTGTTTGAGACTCGCTCCTCTTTCAGAATGCAACTGCAAATAAAACACAACTTTCGATGTGCGGCATAATTTCAAGAAGAAGTGTGTTTGAGCATACACTTAACAAGAAAGCACTTACCTGGGAAGGTAGCAACTTTCGGGATAAAAAGCTGTACAACTTTAACAGCTTGACAATCACTGAGACCAGCCTGTGCATGGTATGCAATGTCAACTTCTGCTATAGAATGCCCTACAATACCGGTTTTGTGCAAATTGCTAATTCACCAGGGCTGTTTCGTTCTTACCTCAAGCCGCAGTTTTACTTTTTCACCTAGCACCCACAACCAAAAGTCAGATGCTGTAAGACGGCGAAGAAACCAGTACAGAAAACACAGTCTGCCGCCTGGTTAACCTGGCAACACGCTCAAAAAAGAGGGGCATTACCACTGTCATCAGAAAGGAAACGGTGACAGCGATAATGGGTTCCTGCGTTCTGGAGGCGACAGTGCTTGCACGCAATCTTTACGTAACATTACGCACACCACCCTCGCCCAACTCCTCCCAACACCCTTCCCGTACTTTTCAACTCAATGCTTGCCTCTTTCAGTCAGCTGGCGTCTTCCGGTGGCGTCAGCTGCCAGCTGGCGTCTGTCGTGCCCGCGTTTCAGAGCAGGAGCTGCAGGACCCAGCACGCTGGGGTCGAGGCCGAGCCGCGCCAAAACGATCGATCGGCTGTGGTGGTGGCGACCTCATCGCAGCTAACCCTGACGTACCGACCTCATCACAGCTCAGCAGATCGTCCATCGTTCGAGGCATGTTTGTCAGCGCTGCGGTGAAGTGTTGCTGACGAACGCAGGGAGGCGGGGAACCCCATCGCGGGGAACCCCATCCCGCGCCGGGTCTGCGCGCTCCAGTCGAGTGTTGCTGGCGGGTGCCGACAGGCGCGGGAGATCACACCGTGAGAGGCGCGAGAGCCCCATCACCACGCTTCGTGCAACGTCTGCTTTGAGGCATACGGCCCAGCGACGACCAGAGATCTGTGATGTAGGGGTTGAGAACCAGGGAGGCTGAGGTTGAAGGTTCAATACTGGGAAACGTCCGCACGGATTATTTCTGTTTATTCGGCACACCTCTCACTTTATTATTTTATTTTTATTTATTATATCACGTTTATTACATAACATATTTCCACAGGGGTGCAAACGATAGCTCGGCTGCCCAATACGCCTCTCACCGTTGGGAGAAATTAGTTGCGTAGTGTGCAGGTGGATACATACTGTTCATAGTGCACAGTGTCATCGCCTCCACCGACGAGGCCGAGTTTGGATCCTGGCCAGCGGGCCGAAATCATTGCCTTTATCATTAATTTTGAATTTCTGGTTCAGATGAACATGTCGCGCCTTTGTAAGCACATCAATGCACCTGGACGCTGCCCAAAACGAAGTGGATCACATATGCAATTCATCACACTGCCGAATGCAGTCTATTGTGGGAACTATGCAAACTCTCGGGGGTTGTCATGCTGTTCAAAGCTTGACATACATTGTCCTGAAATAATGTCACTTGTTTTCAGCACTATGATCTTTTGTAAACAAACGGAATATTCGGTGAAAGGATTTCATGCAATAATAATGATTCAATCAAGGTCCATTTTGATTGCTTTCACATTTCCGATCGCTTTTTATGTTGTCATCATTCCCCCAAATTTCCTGTCCTGTCCCACGACATCGGCTCAGAAAACCCAACACTAACCTCAGCGCCAGACCTGGGCGATGGCGACTTTCTCAGTCCAAATGACGACCTTCAGAGAGCCTCCGGGACGGGACGGGGAAGGAATGGACGCCATCCATCTGGGCTGTGCAGACGAGAGCCAAATTACACCCGTCAGCAGGGTACCTGAGATCCGTCCGGTTCAGGATCCGGACCCGGATCCGCGTACCGCTGCCACCACCGGAGGAGCAGTCCCGAGTGGTTGAGCCGTCCCGAGTGTTCCCTAGCGCACGCGCTCGCATTGCGTGGTCCCGGTCTTCGCCAACTCGGTGTTTTCGCCGGTGAACATTTAAATACGGACCAAATTTGTTCACATCCAGATTAAGTCACCATCTGCCCGTGGGGCGAGAGTCATTAACAGTGGAATTGGTTCTCTTGAGAGAATGAGAGAAGCGGCAGGTTTAAATTTGTTTACGGGGATTGGATTTCAGCCATGGTTCGGTTACGCATTTTTTCAGAAACTTGCAACCGTGAGCAGTTGAGTCCTATTATGAACCATTTTATTGCTGGCACGTTCCTCCTTCCATTGCAATTCATTTAACGAGTTTTCAGAGCAGCAAGGACCCTCCCACTCCAAATACCCCTAGCTTAAATGACCTGACTCAATCAGCCTATTTTATGTGATACGTACGGTTCAGTATAAGCAAATACAAAAGACCGTAGCACGTAAGGCATTACAAAACATGCAGCCAACGCCCATCCTGAATCCATCACGAGCCCAGCAGAACAAACAAATCCCGATATTCGCTTATGCAGCAAATCGAACGACCCCCCAAATGACCTTCGGCGATTTAGAACGCAATCGATGCCGTTGCCTTGACGCCCACATATTGCCCTGCATTATTTAGAAGACAAGGCCGCCTCATCCGTCACCATTGTTTAAGCATGGAGCTCAGTAAGTGCAGCCGAGATCACCGGCAGCGTGTAATACCACTCCATCAGAGGAGACGCAGTACAGGCGCCTCTGCAGGGCAGAGGAGAGAG